TCTGTCTCACTTATTGTAAACCTTTTATAGCAAACTTGGTTGTAGGTGTTTTGGATTTTAAAATCTCCTTTTTTTCCTTTCTCTTCTTTTTCTATTCTCAGATTGTTACACTCAAGAGCTAGTTATCTGTACAATTATAATGCAAGAATTTGTAATGTACATGAAATGTTTTAAGCACACCAATTAAACATTTGGAAACTAAAAGTACATTTATCAATTAGCTAAAATTTGTAATTTGATTTTTTTTGCAAAACCTCTTTATGCCTGGCAGAGCATGGTTGCAGCTTTTTAGGTCTGACTGCAGCTTCAGAATTTTGCAGGGATCTTCAGGCTGGTAATATTGAGTAAGTATTGGCCTTGGAGTCTTTAAAGTCAGGATTATTTTACTCACTGTTTTGCTCTATGCTCTCCAGAGCTTTTGTAGCTGTTTTTACTACATTTTATTTTCATATATTTTCTCATTCCAGTTTTTTTAACCTAGGTTTTGTTTGACTTTTCCTGAGTCTGACTGTGGCACCCACCTGCACATCCTGGTGTGATAATGACAAGTAATTCTCCTCATGCTTTCATCCTCACTTCCTTTGCAGACACATGGTGGTCCTAGCAACTCAAGTAGAGGGGGAGGCAGCCCAACCTCTTCTGGATGGGAAGCACTGAGGTTTGTCTGTAATGATGTTATACTTTTTGGGAGAGGTAAGCCTGCCATGTGAGTGATATAAAATTTGGCAAGCAGTTGTTTTAAAACTGAAACTAAATGCTCGTCACTTGGAAGAGTCAACTGAGGGTTGGAAGGAGTGGGTGTGGCCACAGCTGCAGGTGTGGCCACCTTCCCCTGGGCTGGCTGATATGGTTCAAGCACAGAGCAAGTAATGAAAGTATGTCATGAGACAGGATTCCCTCTTTGCTGAATGCCTTGAAGGGTGCTTCCCATGTACCCATTCAGTATTAGGGTGTTTCAGCTTGGGGAAACCATGGATTATATTTAACTCTGTCCTGTAACATTTTAATAATAGTACTCACTGGCAAAGTACATGTTGGTTGCTTTGAAAGCATATGAAACAATTGGGTTTAATGTTGCTCTCCTGTTGAAAGAGATTGCCCATATTCTCATCCCAGTGGTTAAAAAATTACTCACAGCAAAGCACTGACTTGTTCTGCACCAGGCATCTTTGGTAATCATCCTGTGAAGTCCAAGTGCCTTAGACACCACCTCTGTTCTCCCACATAGGCGATTTCACTTTTTGGTCAAACCAGCAACCATGTTGGGTGCCAATTATAGCAGATGCCAGCTGAGTGCCTTGTTTTCCCACAAGGCAATACAATGCAAAGCAAAGGAAAGACATGGAAACAAGGCTTAAACAGAAAGTAGGGAACTGAGATGGGCCACATCAAGCATCTTGCAAGGACAACCAGCAACTAGGATTGTTGGTATTTATCATTACACGGGTGTGGTGTGTAAGAATAGGGTAGGGGCTGTGTGTGGCATCTGATAATATCAGCTGACACAGGCAAGGCTTGTGGAAAGGAGGATAAGGCATTCTTGCAAAGGAGCAGAACAGACCAAAGGTAGGTTGTGGTTAACTAGTGAGATACTGAAACAATTAAGGGCA